GAATGTCCACGATAGAGTTAGGACTGAGTTTTGCTGAGTGGAAACCTGGTACTTTAAAGCACATCTTAACCAACATAATGGTCTTAGAACAGTCACCTAAACCGGTTCCACAGGCAGTAATCCTGGCAGGAACCTGCTGGTTTTATCAACCACTATCTCCTGAATCCAAGAAACATGCACACTGGCTGAAATGCAGGCTAGGGCTCCACCAGTGATGGATAGCAAAACAAAGCCAGCACTAATGAAAAATTAATGAAAACGGTTACTTCCGTAAGAAAAATGATCTGTTCTCTCCCAACTTTGTATTGATTTTTGACCAGCCCTGTAATTGGAAATGTATGATTTTATCCTAAGGTAAAGGCAGGCAGAGGGGCAGAGTATGGGAGGCTTTCAGCCACCCAGCCAAGCTTCACCCTGGGAGGATAGCCCGCATCCCTCTCCGGGTCTCTCTCCTGGAAACCTGATCCTCCCAAGCCCTGAAGCCTGAGTCATTTGAAGGTTACTGATAATAAATGACACCTGAATGTTCTCATGTCCACCAGCCTTTTGGGATTACCTTTCCTGTGTTATTCAATTAAGATAAATACAAACCTCAACCTACATAACGCAGGAAGCCCCACCTCTCCCCCAATTTTTTAGGAATTCCTTGGGAAGGTATTTCTCTTTTATCAGGTGGTCAACTGTCACATCTCACTCAATTCCAGCCTCACCACTCCCACCCCTTCTTAGCTCACCTGCCCTGTCTACCACAGTGGGCCACATGTTTAGATACAGCCCACCTTCTGGCCTTGCCAAAGACACCGATCTAAAGCAGTACTAGGTTAGGTTAGTTAAAGCAGACTTTATTGGAGGTTGGAGGGCGGACACCTCATTTGCTTTGCTCACCACTGAATCCCACGTGCCAAACTACCTCTTGAGTCATCATAGGAGATTAAAAATAATTATTGACCTAGGGTCATCAAATTTATGGAGGCAGAAGGTAGAATGGTGAGTACCAGGGCTCCCGGGGGATGGAGAGTTATATTTAATGGGTATGGAGTTTCAAGTCGGGGAGATGAAAACGTTCTGGAGATGGATGGTGGTGATGGTCACACAACAGTGTGAATGTGCTTAATGCCACTGAGCCGTACACGTAAAAACGGTTAAGATGGTACATTTTGTGTTATGTACATTTTGCCACAATTTTTTTAAAAAGTTGAATGAAGTACTGGTATTATAAGAGAGGGCTGCAACTCAGAATAAATATAACCTAAAAATTGAGCTCAGAATTTCTAACTTTCCCAGCTTATAGGGTGGCTGGTCCAGAATTCTCCAAAGTGAATGCTCCAAATCCATTCCTAATACAATTCAACTGGGGAGAGGGAAAAACATACTAGAACTTCTATGTATCTATTCGAATTCATTCTTTAAATTTTTCTATTTGGGGATAGATTTAAATGCACATAATATAGAATAGTATAAATGCACATGTACATAATTTATAAATCGATAAACTTACAGAGGAGGAACAGTATCAAACACTTTGTGCTCCTGGGTTGCGTGGTCAACACACTCTGAAGGCCACCATTGCGATGACTTTATAGCGTCTGGCTTACCCACTGGGCTGTGAGCTCCACGAGGGCAGGGGTCTTTATGTTTCTTCAGACATGTATCCCATACCCTGGAGCAGTGCCTGGCACGTGATAGGTTCTCATTCAGTAGTTGTTGGATGGAAGAGCCACGGCTGCTGTTACTGGCGCTCTCCCCATATGCAGGTGCTCTTAGCCCATGACAGCCATATTGCTGGAGGCTCTGGCTTCCATGGACCATCTCCTTTTCCTCTTCCTCCTCCCCTTCCTTTTTTGCCACTCCATCTCCCAGTTTTTAAATCTGTAAAATGAGGACATTGGACCACATGCTTCCAAAGTTCTTAGCCTTCTGCAATGCCAAGTTCCTTGTGCAAATGCCAACTGCCAGGTAGAAGTCATTCCAAGTGACAACATGATTCTGTGTCAGGGATGGAGGCAGCTCACCCCTACTGCCCCAGCTTCAAGGTGACTTTTGGAACTTGGTCTGACTTTCAGTCACTGACAAACTGCCAATACTTCCTTTAGGACAACAAAAGCCATGTACCCCATCTAAGATCACTAATCAGGGCCCTTCCACTGTTCAAAGTAGGTATCACGAAAGCTGGCGCTTTTGGGGGTAGAAAAACAAATCTACGTCAAGTCTCCATTAAGGTCTTGTTCCTATAGAGTCTGGGTCTAGTGGGAAATCTGTGTTTTTGAGGACTTGGCCCAGTGCTGGCTTTGCAGCCAGGCAGTCCTGGACATAAGTCTCCTGTCCCCCATGCATTCTCTGGGTGACTCCAAGCAAGTTGCCTAACTGTCCTGAGTCTCAAGTTCCTTTTCTGATAATTTCAGAAAATAACACCTGTCTTGTGGGGCCATTGGGAGAATAAAAAGATGAGTACACAGTAAGACTCAATAAAATATAACCATGATGACTACTATTATATTTATTGATAGTCTCCCCATATGTGAAACAAGAGATTAAATCAGTAGTTTTCAGAGGAATTCTAGAATTCTGAAGGGCTACCAGAACTATTAGAGGATGGGGCTCGAGGTAGCTCACCCTCCAAGATGCTTCTGTTTTTCAGCTCTGCTTTTCTCAGATTTATGAATTTTTATTTATTTTGGGAAAAAAGAATTCTAAGGCTTTTTTAAAGTGCTTGAAAAATTCTGGACTGGATAATCAGATAAATTTCAACCTTACGAATCTAATTAAAAGATAGTAAGACATTGGAACTCCAGTCGGGGGGAGGGGGTATCTCACCTGGCAGGGAGAGTGTGACGGCCTGGCCCCAGAACTCCAGACCCCAAACTTCCTAAGTTTCCTTCACTGGGCTCTGTAAGGACTAGTTCCCTGTTAGAGTAACCTCCAGCGTCAGTCTCTCCTCTGCTGAACAAATGGTGGTTAATCCTCTCCTCGGTGAAATATCTCACACTGTCATCTCTGCCTACGACTGCTTATTCCCCCAAACTGTCGCATTCATGAAACGGAGGAGGGGAGAGGTAGTTATTAGGAAATACTTCTGGGTACTTCTGTCTCTCACGTCTTTTCTATCTAATTTCAACCCTGGGCATGGATTTAAAATGAAGCTATTCTGGAGGTGGTCTTCAAATGCTTGATGATTAAGGCTCACGCTGTCCTTTGAGGCCATGGGCTGTCTTGTGCACTATTCCCCATGGCTGCTGCTAATCTGGGTTCAGGGTATGGTGGAATAGCCTGGCCTAGAAGTCCGGAGCAGACCCAGCTCCTTCATTTGCTGGCTTAAAAACCTTGGGCAAATAATGTGCATTCTTGAGCCTTGGTTTCCACATCTGAAAAATTAAGGCAAATAATATCTGCCTTGCCCACCCCACAGACCTTTGTAAAGATCTCATGAAAGAATGGATACAAGCAGCACACAGAACTACACAGAAGGGAAGCCCCAAGGTTACAGAGACCCTCTGAGCTGCCCCTCCCTGAAAAGGTCCAGCTTGGCAGAGGGGGGCCTTGCTCTGGACACGCACGTGGGTCCCTGGGCGTGGGGTGATCTGGAGAGGGCTGGGCCGTGGGGGCTGCAGGTTACCACACGGTCCCTCCTCACATCTGATCAGAGCAGCTCACATTCACAGCTTGCCCAATGCCAGGCAGGTTAGGATGAAAGTGTCCTGGCTGAGATTCCATCCAGGTACCACTGGTTCTTCCATGGTTACACAGATAGTGGATCTTACTCCCCTCAGCTTCTCCAAGGCAGAGCTGGTCTTTGGCTCAGTGGAGCCCAAGGCAAGAATGGCTGGGGCCCCTCCTCCACCCGACGCTCCCATCCAGCCCCTGAGGAAGGTGGGTGTGAGTGATCCACAGGCATAGCTACTTATTTGGGGAACATCAGGACGTGGAAAGCCAGAGAAAGCCAAGAGAAGAGGGCTAATGACATGGACCGGGAAACACGTGTGGCTGAACTGACGCGGAAGTAAATGATGTAGGGAAGTGAAACAAGATGAATGCGAAGTTCAGTGCAAAGTACATTTGGAGGCTTACCCCGTGGTCCCAGACTTGGACTCCGGAAACCTGGCTCTGCTCCCTACTCTGGGGGCCTTGGGCAAGTCATGTCTCCTCCTCAGGCTTCTATAAATCTTGCCCACTGGTGAAAAGCTACAAGTTTCTTATCTTCCTGGAATGCCAACTTTACATGAAGATGGTGAGGGACAATTTTTTATTTTTTAAGAGCTTTATGTGATATAATTCATATCACATACAATCCAGCCATTTAAAGCATACAATTCAATGGTTTTTAGTATATTCATGGATTGTGCAACCATCACACAATCAATTTTAGATCATTTCCATCACCCCAAAAAGAAGGCCTGTACCCTTCAGCCATTTCCTCCCATCTCACCCAGCCCTGGCAGCCCCAGGCAACCCCTAACCCACTTTCTGTCCCCACAGATTTGCCTATTCTGGGCATTTCATGTAAGTGGAATCATATAATATGTGGTCTTGGGAGGGTAATTTTTATATGAAACCAAACAGCTATGTTATGAAAAGCAAGCAAAAAATCATATTCATTTTTAAGTCACAAAAGATATTTCAAAAAAATTTCTCTTAAATCTGGCAGCTTCACGGTAAGTTTGTCTCCTTCAGGGACAGTGATTCACGGTGCTCTGCCCCTAGGGCCACTTGGTGGAAATTCTGGGGAGCACTGGACTTAATGATCTTTTATCCTCATCCTAAGTCCAGTCTTTAGAAGACACCAAGGCCCAGCCTGATAAACCTACAGAGAGAGTTTTCCAGGAGAAACTGCTAGTGACCTTCTGTTACCAGTTCTTCCTTCATCTCCTTATCTGTCCATCTCATCTCTACCCGGAGGTCTGCATTTAGAATAACTGAAAAAATAATCAGATTACAGCAATACTGCAGCTTTCTCTATAAAAGAACGACAGGTTGGGTTGTCCTCCCTGCCCACTCACCCTATACATTCCCCCAGATCTTGAGAGGAGCTTCTTGATCTGTTTTATTCACTGAAGTCTCTCCAGTGCCCGGTGCAGTGACTTGCAACATCATAGGGACTCAATAACTATTTGCTGGAAGAAAGAAATGAAAGAAAAGATGAAGGAATTAAAGGAGGGAAGGATAGAGGGAAGGAAGGAGGAAAAGAGGGAAGGAAGGCAGAAGGCAGGGCGGGCCTTGGCTAGTGTCATCATACAGGAAGTTAGGCTGTGAGAGGCACTCAGCATCAGTGCCAGGAAAGTTTATCTGTCTTCCAGGTTTGACAGTCTGAAGGAACTGGCTCTGTCCCTTCAGTTCCATCCAATGGGAAAGAAAAAAAGTAACCATGAGCAAACAAAAGAAAACAGGAAGATGAAACAGAGAAGGGACTCAGGGTGCCCTCTGAGAGGGGGCCCAGGAAAGTAGACAGGCAGTTCCATCTTATGCACCCAGGACTGTCTAATAGGGAGTTTCTTTCCAAAGTAAAGTCCTGACCCAACACGAATGCCAAATAACCCCAGGATCCCGCTTTACATTCATGGGCAGGGAAGCATCTCAGGGCGATTTTGACACAAAGAACCAACCACTCACCAGAAATAGTGGCAAAGAAACATTGAAGCCTGGGATCCAAGGGCCACCAAGGCCATAGAGAAGTGGGTAGTGAACTTCTGTGGATTTGGCCTGTCCCGGTTGCCTGGACCCCTGGCTGCCTGGACTCCAAGGCTCTAAAGACAAGAAATGAATGAAATAAGTTTTTGAGCTACATAAAATCTATTAATTTAGTCAACAAGGATTACTGTTCTTATCACCAAACTGATGAAACAAAGAAACAGAAGAGTAAAGGCCACGTCTTTCCTTTTGTATCACTCAGCTTTTTCTAGGTTATGCTGCATAACAAATGTCCCCCCAAATCTGTGTCATACAACAACAGGTTTCTTGCTCACATTTCACACTTTCTACAAGTCAATTGCAGGTTTTCTTCCATTCTAGTACCAAGGCTGAGGGTGCAGCCCTCTCTGGAACAAGTTGGTCTCGTGGCAGAGAAAAAAGATCCAGAGGACTGGTGGAGACAGGCAATGACTCACAAGTGGCAAATGCCACTTTCACTCACATCTCATTGGCCAGTGGAAGCCGTCCACCCAAGCCAAGGTCAATGATGCAGAGAAAAACAAAACTCTCAGAAGAAGGGCAGCAAATAATTGCAAACAACTGTATGGTCTACCACAGTCCAAATGTTGCCAGAAAGGCTATGCTGAACCTCTTGAAGGGCAGAATTGAGACTTTTTTCCTTTGCCCCAGTGTCTGGCAGAGCCTGGTTATAGTAGAGTGTTCAAGAATGAAAGGATGGTGCCCACCTTTAAAGGTGGAAAATAAGGACAATGACATTGCCAAGATTAGAAATCAGACATCCTGATATCAGCCTTCTCTCTTCCCATCACCACACCAACCTGAAATGCAGCCACCTAAAGAGCTTTGACCTTGCACATGGCAGTAACTTTGCTTTTCAGAAATCGTTCCTGCCCCAGATCAAGACAACAAAACCAACTGTTGACTAAAGAATTTGAGGATGAAGAGGGGTGAATGAGTTGGGGGTGGTGGTATTAAACCAGGAAGCATAGCACTGTTAACTTATAAAGTGCTTTTGCATATATTAACTCATTTGACCTTCCCAGAAACCTGGTGAAAAAGCAAAGTTTATTTAGGCTGTTTTTGATGAAGAAACAGTGCTTAAGTAGAAAACAGTGGTTTAGCACACAGGTTCTAGAATCACTCAGCCTGGCTTAAGTCCCGTCTCAGCCCCTTGCTGGCTGTGTGACCTTGGGAACACTGCTTTACCTTGGTCATGCTAATGGACACAGGGAATAGCACTGGTCATTGGGGCAGAGGCTGGAACACACAGGGAGAAGGGGCAGCCAGTGCTTGGGTGCTGTATTCTCCCGGCATGGTGCCCCATGCCTGTGCTCCAGGAGAGGAGACATCTATCTTTCTACTGGCCATGAAAGGAGCCTTGGAGGGTGAGGGACAAGTCAGGTGGGGGTACTAGGAGGTCTGAACATAGACTTGGGCTGTTCAAGGGGGTGATGGGAGTGCTGGTGCCCAGGATCTGGAGACAGGGAGCAAGTCGAGACTGTGCACAGCCCTCCCACCTTGGTCCCAGAGACCCTGTTGCCAGGCAACTTGAGGGTCATCCATTGAACAATTCATCCGACATTACATCTGACATTTGGAGTGGGAAGGGCTGGGCCCAGCGCCCTCCTGGAGGGGCTCACGGGGTGGAAGGGGCAGACACGCAGGATGTGAGTGTAACACAGTGGGTGTGGTGGATGAATGACTGCACAGAGATGTGAGCACTCGAGCTGGACCAGTGGCAGGCAGGGGGGATGCTTGACGAGGGAAGAGGCAGGAGCGGACACCTGAGGAGGTGAGGGAGGCCTCCCAGGTCAGGGTCAGCCCAGCAAAGCGAGAGCCTGTGCGGGGAGCGCTGAGGGGCCTGAGGCTGGGAAGAGCCACCCTGACCTCCGAGCAGAGAACAGATGGAGGCCTGGGAGGGGTGCGGGGCCGGGCCTGGGAGCTTATAGGCGCACACCTCATTCTGCATGGATGAGGAACCAGTGAGGCAGGCCCGGCCACATAATTAGGGGCCCAGTGCAAAATGAAGATGTGGGGCCCCCTTGCTTAAAGAGTGTTCGCAATTTCAAGACAGCAGCAAAAGAGCATTGTACCAAGTCCAGGGTCCTGAGCGCAGGCCCCATGTGACCACCCAGGCTGCAGCCCTGGGAAGATGGCTGTGGGTATGGCTTAGGGAATGAATCCAGACCCAACAGCTGGCAGCTCCCAGTCTCGGCCAGGGAAATCTTGCACTTGTCTGTCTTTGCAATATGCTGTTTTACAGGCACACCTTCATTTTATTAGGTTTCACTTCATCGTACTTCACAGGTATTTTTGTTTTACAAGTTGAAGGTTTGTGGCAACCCTGTGTTGTCAGATGATAGTCCCCATTTTTTAGCAATAAAGTATTTTAAAATTAAGATATGTACATTTTTTTAGACAATGCTATTGCACACTTAATAGACTACAGTGTAGTGTAATCATAACTTTTTACACACTGGGAAACCAAAAAAATTGTGTGACTTGCTTTATTGCAATAGTTGCATTATTGTGGTGGTGTGGAACCAAGCCTGTAATATCTCCAAGGTGTGCCTGTAGTTTTTCTTCAAATAGAAAATTTTAAAATATAATTTTTAATCTTTTATGAGATGTTTAAAATGTTATATGCCATTAAATACACAAATTATTCAACTAATAGAAACATTTCAGAGACAATTTTTTGAGAATCTCTCTTCTCCAGAGAGGGACAGCTGGAGTAAATCATCAGGGTTGCCCCTGTGGCTGGCATGCAACTTGCTGCTGGGGTCAGGAGCCAGCAATGCCTCGAAAATAGGGCAGCGACACCTAAGGTTTAAGTTCTGGCAACAGTGGTCTGTCTCCTTCCACGTATTTTACATCAAAGCCAGCCAAATTTCTCTGAGTTTCCCTAAGAATTTCTCTCACTATATCTCTAGGAGAAGGTAGAGTTGGAGAGAAGAAATCGTGTTTTTAAAGGGCCAGTGAGGACCCTCCTTTGGGGAGCCTCACAGCCCTTTTCCCCCAAGCCCTGGGCTCGTCCATCAAGGCAAGGCCCCAAGGGATCTTGAATCCTGTCCAGGTTCACAGTCAGACTCCATGTCCCACAGGAGGGAGCCCTGTGGAGAGAAAGCTCTACCTGTGCACTCCCTGCTGAGAAGAGACCCAGACCCTCTCCAAGTGGACGGCACGTGAAGGAACAAACTTTCAAATATAGATGTGATTTTTTTTAGGTTCTTATTTCTCTGGTCCTTGAATTTCTGCCTGGAATGTGAAGAGGTTTCCAAGAAGACCCCAAGCTGTACCCTGAAGTGGAACACGTGGAGTGGGAGCCTGGGCTTCCTACCCAGCTTCACGGAGGGTGTGACCCAGCCCTGCTAAGCCTCACTTTCCTCATCTGTAAAATGAGCATAAAAATACTCTGCTGCCACAAGTCCCAGTGGTGCCATGAGTATGAAGTGGGGAGATGGACACACCCGCACACAGTGAGAGTCTAATAAATGTTGACTGCTGTGACTTCTGCCCAACAGAAGTTTGCTTTAGTTACCTAAAGCAAATATCCTCAATCTGGAGGGTTGAGAATGGTCAAGCTGTTAGAAACGGTCTGGATGGAAGGCTGATTTTTCATAAAATTACTGTCTTCACTGCCCTCGTAATAACCCCTGTGGGATGCCCACCCAGAGGCACAAGTTTCCTCCTGTGAACCCACTGCCCTGGATTTTATCTGTGGCCTTTGACCTCTGGTAATGGCCATGGGTGGGACTCCCAGTGATGCTCCTGAGCTCAGCCCCACCCCTGCTGCCCCATGCCCAGTGCACGCCAGCTGATGGCTTTAGTTGCCATAACAACGCAAGCTGCTCCCCAGTACACAGCTTCAAGTTTTTCCATCCCTAAACCATACTTTATGTGTTTAAACTAACAACAGAGTATCCATCAGCGCAGAAAAGTGGATTTCCTCCTTCTTTCAGAGAGAGGAGTGAATGGGGAAGCAAATCACTTAAAGGGGTTTCAGAAATGAACAACCAGGAGCTCTTGGTTGTGAGCAGGTTGGAAGGAGACTCTGCCCTCTCTTCCACAGTGTGCCCGCCAGCTCGCCAGGGAGCAACCACCAAAAAGCACGGACAAGGTGGAAATCTCCAGAGAGGTGAGAGTTTCTGTAACTCCTACAGAGCATGACTTGGGCCCTGGGAACACCCCAAGAACTGTCACCTGGCCCTGACGGTTATTCGCTAAAGAAGAGTTAATTCCAACTGCTGGTGGTCACTGAACCTCCAGAAGGAGAGAATAACATGCATCCTTTCCAAAACAGAACTCACCACAAAACGTTTTTATTCACGGAGTTCTGAGGGAATGGCTCCCTCAAGCCATTGCTCTAGGGACATGAGCAAAGAGAGAAGACACAGCTCCCAGACACAGGAGGGGACAAGCAAGTTGAGGCCACGCTGCCGCCATGTTGAAGAAACCAGACACACGACCCCAGGCAGCCAAGCCAAGGGAGGTTGTCGTGGACTGAAGGGCCTTCCCCTTCCTTTGCTCTCCCTTCTTTCTGAGTACACGCTCCTGGGTGTTTTCCTGGCTCCATCATAGCATCCATCACAGAGGCTCGGGGGGTGTGGGGGAGTAGCCAGGGGCGGGGGAGGTCCAGTCCCTCACATGGCCCGGACAGCTGACCCAAGTCCCAGCCAGGCCTGAGACAGAGGTGGGGATCCTGAGTTTTGTCTTTGTGTTTTCTATGACTGTATTTTCCACCATCAAATGGACTTTTTCAAAGCAGTCATTCTCATTGTTTTAAAGGATGAAATTTATGGTTTGAAAGTAATGGCTGCCAACCTCATAAAATGAGCTTTAATATCTCCACATTCTCACAATTGGCCAAATCCCTAGGACCCCTATAAAGAGTGAATCGCCCTAGGCAGAAAAGGATTAAATTTACTGAACATCATAAAAATACACAATGAGCTCCATATCCTTTCTCATTTTCCAGTGACAGTCGTGCTGGGCAGGGGTCCTTTGGTCATGATCTCCTCTCCCCTCACCGTGCCCTCCTCCCACTGTCCACGTGCTGGCCTCCACACTAACCCCACACAGCCTGGTCTTCTACCCCTGGTCTCGGCCCCTGACATCAGTGTTGACCTGCTCCAGCCCAATCACAGTCAGTGTCTTCTCTTGGATCCTGAAGAATCAGATGAGTCCAGAATTTGTTTCTAGATGTTGGGAATATGGACTCATTAATATAAGGCAATTAAAGGCTAATATTCACCTTGACCTGTGAGATGTGTGAAAATCTCTTTATAGGTAGGCTATGCTCTGCTTTATAAACTGTGACCTTGAGAAAGTTACTTAACTGCTCTGAAACTGCTTATTCATCTGTTAAAAAAATTTTTTTTTAGTATGGAAGGTAACTTTATTATATCGTTTCCCTTAAAATTAAATTCCAACTTTCACAGCAGTTGAGGAAACTGACATTCCCCAGCCAGTATGAGTGGAGTTGGGGTTCCGATTCTGGTTTGTCTGATTCCAAAATTCACACTCTTTTTCGAGAGCCCTCCATCATATCCTGGGACAGGGGCGGGAACTTCTGGAATAGTAGGCAAGATAGCTGAGAAATGAAAGAGGCCAATAGCAGAGCCTGGCACACTGGTCCAGAGTGAGAGATCCTAAACCAGAGTAACAGCAACTGGAGGGGACAGAGGTGTTGTGAAGGCTGAACCAACTTGATAGGAGCCAAGGGGGAGAAGAGTAAGGAAGTGGGAGGGACCATTACTAAATTGAGATTTTTGAACCTAAATGACCCAGGAGGTGATGGAAGAGATGAATGTAAAAAATTTAGAGAAGAGAGGCATCTTGAGCATCAGGACAGTAAATGAAATGTCTGGAAGGAATTTAGGGATACAAGATTTTATATTTAGAAGAGATTAGATGCAGAATCAAGATGTGAAAAGCAGCCGCATTAATTAAGGCTAAAGTCACGAAGGCAGGGGACCTCCCAGTACAGAGAGGAAGGCTGCGGGCTGAGAGAGGCTTGGGTGGAGAGGTCACAGGTCACGGGGCAGGGGGAGCACAAGGCATTGCAGGGCCACCCTAGGGAAGGGACACTTTCCCAGCAGGAGTGCTCAGAATTGGTACACAAAGCTGAGGGAAGGATGTGGTGATAGAAGGAAAGCTTTCCTTTTTAAGAGCGTAATCTCAGTAGATAGGTAAGGGTGGAGGTCAGATTATAGATGGTTAAAAAAAGACTTCTTTTTTTAGTCTGGAGGATCTGACTAAAGAAGACAGAAGTCATAGACCACATGTTTAAGATACTTGGAAGGGAAACGATAAAAAAGGGAACACAGGACCAAGGGAAGAGATTTTTCTTTCCCCTCCAAGTCGGATACTTGAGCGTGTTTGACTAGAGAAGGGAGGAATCTAGTGAAGATGGAGAGTGAGTAAGGAAAAGAGATCATTGGAAAAGCTGATTTCTAGAGAAGGCAAGAAGGGATTCATTTGTTAAGTGACAATGAGCCATTATATGCAAAGTACTGTGTTCAGGACAGTAAGAAATAATAAGGATAAAATGAAAAACAGTGCTTTCTCTAAGGAGCCCACAGTTTAGTAGGAGAGATGACAGATAAACAAATAGAATTATTGCATGGCAGTGTGAGCCCTATGTTCATTTAGCAATATAGTGTTATTTGAGGTTCAGAGAGGAAATTTGGGATGAAAAGGAAAGGGACAGCTCAACAGGTATCACAGAAGAGAAAGTACCATATTCAGCCTCAGAAGATGAGCAATAATATGACTGACAAAGATGCAGAGGAAGTGTGTGAGAAAGGAGGAATTCCAGATGCAAAGACGGTGTTCAGAACAAGGACAGAGGAGGTAGCCCTGGAAAGAGGAAAAATTCTCTAAATGGGACTTAAGGAAAGAATAAGTAGGGAGGAAAAATAGGATAAAGAGGTATTGGAAAGCAGAAAGGAGGGAGTACAAGAGTACTCATACCTGATGGTCTCACTGTACTTTGTAAGGTTGGCAAGCAGAGGAGCCTCTGAAAGCAGAGGATCAGGGGTCAAGGTCAAGAAGAAAAGGGTGCATCTGAAAGAGATGGAAACACAGACTGCAAAGCAGCCAGGTGGGCTTGTTCTACTGAAGTTAGAAACTCCCAAAACTTTGTCTAACAAAAGTCAGCTCTCTGGGAATAGGAACTGGAATAGTAACTGTTGGGAGGACTTTTACTTCTGGAAGCATGGAAGAGATACACTGGCCTACCCTCTTATGGAAAGCGATTAACAATGCTGATCTATAAAAAGCATTGTTGAGTTTGGCCAGAAAAATGGCAAGAGACTGAAAATTAAGTGAAAGTGAAAAACCAGAGAGATGTGTAGACTTCTAAAGCCAGCTTTTACCTTGATGACATTTGCTGCAACAGTGAACTTGAATTTTGTTTTTCACAGCCTTGCTGGGTGAAGGAAATAGGGCCCAATCAAGGTGAGGAGTCTAATAGAACACCCCCTACATAAAGTTAGAGACTCACTGGGTTATATCTTTCCTGTAAGAGTGAACTGAGAAATAAACTCATCTATTCCCTCCTCCAAGGGGGTGCAAGGAATTTGCCTCTGTGAACCTAGAACTGAGGAAGAAGGAAAAACTTCAAGTTGAATATTTAGTTTAAAGATATTTATGACAGGAGGTGCCCCAGATGCCTGAAAGAGGCAAACACAAATCTTCCCAAGAGAAACTCATCAACCGAACCTCAAATAATTCCCACAGGTATCAGCTCACAGTCAAAAATCACAAAATACATAAGGAAACAAAGCATGAGTGGGTACAAGCAGGATTTAAAAAAAAAAAAAGAAGAAGAAGAATCAGACCCATGGAATTATCAGATAAAGAATATATGATTTAAAAGATAAAATAAGGAATTTTAAATATGAGTAAAGACAAGAGACTATATGAAAAAGAACCAAAAAACCCAAGAAATGAAAATGATAATTATAACATGAAACTCAGTAGTTGAGTTTAACAGCAGATTGGATACAATTGAAGAGAGAATTAGTGGATCAAAATACAAAACCTTATAGCATATAGTCTGAGATTAGAGGAGGGGTTTTTTGATAGGAGTTAAACTATCCCTCAAATCATGTATTGTTCAGAGGGAGAAAATACTGATTAACTTTGATGTTAGAATTTTTAGAATAGTAAGAAAAAATGGGAAAAAATTATATAATTTTTAAGCTAGTAAGGGGGAAAAGGAGATAAGAAAAATAATTTTTACTCTAAAAAAAGAAAGAAATGGGTGGGCCTTAGTGGATCCAATTCAAGCAAACCAATACAACAGTAAAAAAAAAAAAAATTGTGTATGTGAGACAATTAGGAAAATTTGAACACTAACTGGATATTTAATGATATTAAAGAGTTACTATTTTTTAAGATGTAATAATGGTAATGTGGTTTTGTTTTATAAAAGACCTCTTAAATATTATAGATACACACTGAAGAATGTATGAATGAAATTATATGATGGCTTTGTTTTGCTTAAAAACAATCCAATGCTGGGTTGTGGGGAAAATATAGAGGAGAGAAAAAATTCATTTGGTGAAGCTGAGAGATGGTTTTTCCATTTTTGTATGTGTTTAAAACTTTCTGTAATAAAACGTTAAAATAAGAAAATAAATATTAAAAAGATAAAAGAAGGCAAGTAAGGAGAGAAAAAGAAACAAAGAAGGCAAGACAAATAGAAAGCTTTTGATAAAATGGCAAATATATCAGTAATCACAATCAATACAAATTGACAGTTTCAGTTATAAATCTGTCTATATGCTATTTATAGGTAACACATAGAAACATAAAAGGTGAAAGTAAAAAGAACTGAAAATGATATTCCAGGCAAATGCTAATCAAAAAAGCTGGTGTACCTAAATTTAGAGTAGACAAAATAGACATGCAGGTAAGAAGCGCCACTAGGAATAAATAGAATCATTATACAGTGATACAAGTTTCAGTTTACTGGGAAAATAGAGCAACTTTAAACATGTGTAACCTAAAAATATAGCTTCTAAATATATAAAAGAAAAAATATACACAATTACAAGGGGAAATAAGTAAATCCACTCTTATGGTAGGAAAATTTATCATACCTGTCCCAGTAATTGAAACATCAAGAATACAAAGCAGGGCTTCCCTCGTGGCGCAGTGGTTGAGAGTCCGCCTGCCAATGCAGGGGACACGGGTTCGTGCCCCGGTCCGGGAAGACCCCACATGCCGCGGAGCGGCTGGGCCCGTGAGCCATGGCTGCTGAGCCTGCGTGTCTGGAGCCTGTGCTCTGCAACAGGAGAGGCCATAACAGTGAGAGGTCCGCGTACCACAAAAAAAAAAAAAAAAAAAAAAAAAAGAATACAAAGCAAAACAAAGCAACAACAAAAAAAGCAAAAAACATATACAAATATAGAAGATTGGAACAGCACCATAAGATTGATCTAACATATATTTATAGAGAACTATACCAAACAACTATAGAATGTAAGTTATTTTCAGTGATAACACACTGAGTCAAAAAATGTCTCTATGGATTTTAGAGTATTGATATCACACAGACCACATTCTCTGATTACAATGCAGTTAAATGAGAAAGCAATAACAAAAACATAACTTCCTAATGGTTGGAAATTTTAAAATATGCTTATAACCAGTGATTCAAAGAAGCTAAGGAAAACAATTTATAATAGAATTAATGAGCTAAGCATACAACTTAAGAAGACAGAAAAAGATAAAATGAACCCAAAGAAAGATGAAGAAAATAAAGATGAGAAATTAATGAAATAGAAGACAAAAATACAGAGAGAATCAACAGAGCCGAAAGTTGTTTTTGGACAAAACTAATAAAATGGATACATTTCTGGCAGGATTAATCAAGAAAAGGGGCAGTCACAGATAACAATATCAGAAATTAAAAATGAGACATAATTATAGATGCTGCAGACATTACAACAATTTAAGAGGTTAATATAAACAACTTCATACCAATAAACTTGGAAATGTACATGAAATGGACAAATTACTAGGTAAGTATAATTTTATATAACTGACTCAAGAAAAAATAGAAAACTCAAATAGTCCTTTAAACATTAAATAAATTGAAATAATAGTTAAAAATCTTTCAAAAAGGAAACACCAGGCTCAGATGATTTTACCGGCAAGTTCTACCAACATTCAAGAAATGAAACTAGTTTCAAATTATGCTAAGATAGAGAAAAGTAGGTACGACTCACCATTTCATTTTAATGAGGCTGGCAGAACTTTGGTATCAAAAGCAGACAAGGACAGTAGCAGAAAGTTACAATCTCACTTATGAAATATGGATGTAAAAATAGTAAATGGCTAGCTAACGACGGCAGATTAAAGATGGCTGCACTTTTTTGTGTGACTTCTCCCATTCAGAGGTAGAGTCTAATTCCTTCCGTTTTCTTCTAGAAAAGTGCTTCATCAATAGAATGTGGTAGATGTGCCACTGCATGACCTCCTTCTGCCTTAGTCTCTTAGAAACTTCCTCTGGGAAGCCCTGAGCAGCCATGTAAGGAGTAAGACTACTGTGAGAATGCCAGGTGGAAAGGCAACATGAGAGCACTGTGGTTGACAGTCCCAGATGAGTCCAGTTTTTCAGCCATTTCTGTCAAAGCACCAAACACATGAATGAGGTTGTTTTGGACCTGCCAGACCAGCCCATCTGCCAGCTTAAATCCACCAAGTGACCTCAAGGAGTCCATATGAAGCAGGAAAATCCCTGAGCTGAGTCCTGTCCAAATTTCTGATCTGCAAAATTATGAATAAAATAAAATGAATATTGTTTTAATCAACTAAGTTTTGAAGTAGTTTGTTATGCAACAAGAGATAAACAGAAACACTAACAAATTCCAGTACTGTATAAAATCATTTATGACCTAGTTGGTCATAAATATTAGAAAATCAGTTAATATAATTTACTCCATTAACAGATTAAAGGAGAATAGTCATCTTCTCAAAGTAAAAAGAAAGGTAGTTGTTAAAGTACTACTCATGATTTAAAAAAAACAAAAAACTCTTAGTAATCTAAGTACATAAAGGAACTTCTTCAGCCTAGACATCACTTTACAGACATCATCATATGGTAAAACATCGTCTGTATTTCTTTTAATATCGGGTACAAGACAAATGTGTCCGCTCTCACTACTTCTAATCCATTTTGTACTGGAGATTCAACCCAATAGAGGAGGGCAAGAAAAAGAAGTAAGAATTGTAAAGACTGCAAAGGAAAAAGCAAATCTGTCGTTATTTGCAGATGATACAATTGTCTTCAAAAACAACCCTAGAAAATCTATCAGAGGGCTTCCCTGATGGCGCAGTGGTTGACAGTCCGCCTGCTGATGCAGGGGACATGGGTTCGTGCCCTGGTCCCGGAGGATCCCACATGCCGCGGAGCGGCTGGGCCCATGAGCCATGGCTGCTGAGCCTGCGCGTCCGGAGCCTGTGCTCCGCAATGGGAGAGGCCACAACAGTGAGAGGCCCGCCTAAAAAAAAAAAAAAAAAAAAAAAAATCTATCAGAAAGAGTATAAGTATTGATGAAATTTTATCAAAGGTGCTGGATGGGTATAAAATCAACATACAAAGATCAATTTCATTTTCATCTATCAACAAAAAAATGCTAGAAAGTTTGTTTTAAAAACACAGTTTAGAGTAGTATCAAAATCTTTTAATCAACAAAGATACCAATTTTTCACAAACTCATCTACAGATTTAGTTCATATCCAGTCAAATACCAATAGAGTTTTTGTGGACCTTGATGAGCTGAGTCTAAAAGTTACATGGACAAGACAGCTTAGCAGCCAAGACACTGTTGAAGAAGAATGGGGGAGGAGGAGTGTGGAACTAACATCACAAGGTATCAATATTTATTCAAAGCCATAGTGCATAAAACAGTGTGGTACTGGAGAGAAACAAACTGATCAACAGAATTGAGAGCCTCAAAGAGACCAATATTGATATGAATTTGGTGCATTATAGATCAATGGAAAGGATGGACTATTCAATAAATTGGTGGAATAATGCTGTATCCATATGAAGGGAAAATTTTAACTAGACCCTGAACTCACACCATTAAAAAAAAAAAAAAGAATTTCAGGTGGACTAAAGTGCTAAATGCAAAAGATAAAACTATTAAACTTTTAAAAGACAATTTAGGAGACTGTCCTTATGAACTTGAATGTAGTTGAAAAGGATTCCTAAAACCAGACACAGTTACGCAAATTCTAAAGGGAAAGATTGAAGAACTTAACTATGTTAAAATTAATAACTTCTGTTCATCAAAAGGCACCACAAAGACAGTGGAATGATAAGCCAAAATTGGGAGTATATATTTGCACAACACATAACTGACTGAGGATGGACATCCAAAACATATAAAGAACACCTGTAAATCCATTAAGAAAAACAGGCAAAATAGTTCAATAGGTGCTTCACAATGGCTAATTGGCATAATTAAAAGACACCCATCCTCATTAACCAACAGGGGAATTCAAACTGAAACAACGGTGAGCCGTCATTTTCTGCTCACTGGACTGGCAAAGATAAAAAACAATATCAAGTTTTGGTAAGGAAACAAATGGTACACTTACTACACTGGAGCAGAATGGAAACTGACCTAGCCACTTTTGGAAAACTGAAGATGTACACACTCTAGAACCAGTCATTTTACTTCCAGAGCAAGTCTCGGACAAGGAGACATATCTAGAATGTACATACCACAGCAGGAAAGTCTGAAATAGTGAAAACAACCTAAATGTCCTTTGGAATCAACATCACCATACGATGGGACTCAGTGAGCGGTGACACTGAACAATTTCACAGCTGCAGCCAAAAGGATGCTTCTCGGGAGACTGATGTTGCCGGAAAGAAGATGCAGAAGAATATTATTCTATCATGTAAAGTCCGGAAACATGCAAACTGAATATTCTAGTTAGAGATACTCAATATACATGAAAACGTAAAGAAAAGCAAGGGAATGGTGAACACACACCTCAGGATGATTGATCACTTCTGGGGGAGAGAGAAGGAGATGGAGAGCCCACAGGACACACCACAGGCAAGAGCAATGGCCTTTTATTTAGGGTGAGGGTTGGGCACATGGGTGTTCCCTAAATCGAGTCTTCTTATTCTATTCCGTCTCATTAAAAACAGCGAAGGTCCCCCAGGATTGGCGATTGGTGGCCAGAGGCGCCACTACAGGACAGAGATCCCTGTTTAGCCCCAGCTTCCAGACAGTTGGCCTTAAGAGGAATGTGTTGTAATTCTCTTCGGTCGCTCCTCAAAAATAAGAAAATGCCTTTATAAAAAAGCAAAAGCCCAGGTTTTCCACCTGAGCTAGCTTCAGGGAAACCTCTGACTCTGAGGGATTAAGAATTATGCATGTGTGAATGCGTAGGTGGCCAGGGAGGGGTTGAAGAAGGATGAGGGAAAGTGAGAAAAGAGAAGAGTGTGATGGTGGTGGTTCGGGCCCCAAAGACAGGCACCCAATGGGAGAGGTTATGGGAAAGCTTCTGGTAGTCCCCAAAGAAAGTGAGGATTAACGCTGAACGCACCAATTAACACACGTAGCATCTACACTCAGAGTCTGATGAAACCAATTTGATTCTGGCCAACAGCCAAGGGGAGAAAACCCCACTGGATCTGATTTCATAGTGCCCTTGAGGATGTACCCAGTAAATGGACACCTTGGAAAGAGGAAGAAAGGGTTGTGTCAGTTTCTGCCAACTTCTTATCCTTGCAAGGTCCTGCCATCAGTTAAAAATGCCTCTCTCCTGTTGGGCCTGTCTGCCAGGGCACAGGGGAGGTACAATGGCCTTGCTTAATACCAGGCGCTGGCCTTCAGCGTGGCAGAAAGACAAGCCCGTCCCTCCCAGGCCCAGGCCATTCATTCCTCGCCTGGACTTGGGGCGGGAAGGTTGGTGATGCATGAAGCGCCTCTGGGAAGGGGCCACCGTGCTGGTCTGGCTTCCCAGGCACAGGGTTTGAATCAAAGGCGGAGGGGGAGCCGCTGGCTCCAGTTGGGCTGTGCTCAGAGCTCCAGCTGTTGGGTCTTTGGTTTTTATTACATTAGTCTTAAAAAAAAAAGTTTTTAATCAGCAAGAATCAGTGAAGCAGGCTTTATGGTGCAATAATTCTGCATGTTTTGTTATAAATATCCCCAGGCAAAGTTAAGGTTATTTCATACGAC